GCCTTTACTAAAATACTTTTAAAAGATTTCTTATTTATTACGATGTTCCCCAGTCATCTTTCTATCTATTCGCCAAATATTTTAAGAACTCGCAAGTCAAGTGACACGTTTGTAATTAACTACCATTCGAACTGTGATGACTCCATTCAATCAAAGAAGCTAAGAAATTGTACAAATCCCATCTCGACTAAATTGAAACCATATAAACAGAAGTTGGTAGTTCAAAGTCCATGCTTTTTAGGAATATAAGCTTAGAGGATATAGACCATGTAGATAATTATATAAATAATCACGTATAAATATATCTTGAAATTAAATGAATAATCAGAGACCTGACTTTGATTTATATATAAAAGACGAGTTGACTAGATAGGAAATGGGTAATAAAAATTGTTATCAAGCAAACTGTGATTCTATTTTTTTGTCGTGTCCATATTCACAAAGAAAATTACCCATTATCCAGATCAGGCCACTAACGCAAATTGTTCATGTAGTTGCTTTCATTTTAGATCGGGTCACTGCATAAGCCATTAAGTTCCACAAAACAAACGTCTGAAACTATTCATTTTCCCTGATTATTTATGATATCTTCATCGAAATTTACAAGTTAGGCAGTACAGTGAATGCTAATAATACTGGTAAGAAGAAGTTCTTACTCACCTTTGGCCTCATATAATTGTGGACTTTTTCTCACAATTATATGAATATACCTGATGATGATATGATAGATAATGCTTTTTATAGCTAATTTCTTAGAGATTTTGTGCTGCTTGAAGTATCTTCTATCTTCCTGTGATGCCTTCACAGTGATGTAAAACAATTGCAATTCACCTTGAAAAGTCCATTCAAGCAGTTGATGTATCTTACCTTTCATGTACACTTTACTGTACGCAGCCCCACAAGGTTGTTTCTGACTCTACCCTTGACTTCGTGACGACTTATATGCTTGATACTCCTATATTCACAAAGCATGGCTAATCGCGGCCAATCTACCTCACCATACTTGTGGTACAGCTGCACTACAAGATCTCAAGAGGCATTTACGTTTTGAGTCACAACAGCAAATCGGAATGCAGACTAGACTTTTATAGTGGCATTTTTATAGTTTTTATAGTTGCCATCTTAAAGTTCTATAAAATCCCAAATTACTCAGATCTCTTTAAAGCGACGCATCTGCTTTACTATGGAAGCCGATCGTGTCATACTCATGTACTCATTTCACTCAGCTGCGTTGAAGCAATTTTCTTTCGCTTTTCTTCTCTATGTCCACATTTGCATAAGCATAAAGTAGCCCCCTTTTTCTGCCAATCACTTTATCCCATTCTTCATTGTACCTGTACTTCTCTTTACATTTTGAGTTATAAGTGGACGATATATCAGGAATACTTCTAAATCATGGTTTACTAGTCTCTTTACAATTTCACATTACATTCATAATTTACTTCTTCCTTAACTTATGCTGTTTACACGAAAGGTGAATAGTTTTTCTGATAAACAGTGTTATGATGAATTTTACTATGTATGAAACTCCTTGATGAAGAGATGTATAGGTCGATCTCACCACAGGGCGATGGCTGATCCCCATTATCCTGCTATCGTTTGAGTTTACTATGACGTTCAGCTCGGTGTATTCTGTAAGCTATCTTTCCTCGTTTTGGGTAAAAAAAGTTTGTTATATGACTGAGATCTTCAAATCTTGTATTCGTTCTTGCCGGAGATTCAAGTTACGACTAAGTCAAATAGGAAGCATAACAACGGTAATTGGCCATTATTTTCTGGTGAGATCGATCCACGAGATTCTTCCTCAGGCAACTACATACGAGATAAAAGTCACTAACAATTATACTGTTTAGTTTTACTTTACTTACTTTTACTTTCTACGCTTTGCATCGTATTTGACCTCAATACTCCATCTTTTCACGGTCCTTATTCATCTAGAAGGTAATATAATTTGTATGCGGTACTTCGAAGTTTTTTATTTCAACTATTACATACTTATTATTTGGTCATTTGGTTGTGCTTGAATATATACTCCTAGTTTAACTCTTGACACTTAATAAAAACCCTTTTCGGCAAGCTTATCTTCCAATCATATACCCTTTTGTGCAAAATGCCACTTTCCTTGCTCAAATTTACCTTAATGTATGCGGTCTCAAGCGACCATCGTCCTAGGTTTTTTAGTTTTTCTGCAGTTCTCTTTTTCTGATGTGCAAGAGAGCTATTTTGAGACTTTTATGGTTTCTTCTGGATCGGTATTACGCATAGATATTAACATACACACACGCATACTCGAACAAAACTAACAGTAAAAGTATGAAAGATAATTTTCCAAATCATTTTATATCTATCTAGGCTTTTTATTTTATTTTGCTCAATTGAGTCTATCTAGGAGATAAGATAGAACAGGATAGTCTTCTTGCCCTAGTGAAAACGTGGGACTTTTACAAAAATGAGATCCAGTTCTGGTGATGTCCATCGTATGATGAACGAAAGCTCAGCTCGTTTCCACTCGAAACGAAGGAGAAGGTATCGTGGATTGCGTCAACATGAACGTGATATAAAGGCTGAAATACAACGGGATTCAGCCGTCCCCTTCTAGTGAGATTGACTCACGCATCTCTTCCTCATGCAATTTCATACGAAATAAAAGTCACTCTAACAATCGTCACGTTTTGTTTTGAAATTGCCTATTTTCGTTTTCATATAATACACTTTATTGACACTCCATTTCTTAAAAACAAGTATCTCTTAACATTTCATTTTCCTCCACACTTACTCAAAAATTTATCTAGTAGCTCCGACAAAGATGTTTTTTATATCCAACCATAGTAGACTTATTCCCCATAAAGCATTTG